GATCCAATCATCCCCTCCTGTTAAACTTGGGTAACCTAAACCCCTCTTAAACGCTAAAAGTAACGCCTTCTTCTTTTCTTATTCCCCCTTGACTGCTGCTAAAACAAGGGCCCGGTAACGACTTTCACCTCCAACTGTATAATATGTCTAACTCTTGTCAGCGACTACTGCTTGCTGCTGCTAGTACGTTCAGGACTGGGGGTGTAGATGGATTCTCTGGAGGAGTGCGGCTCCGTGTTCGGATCTAAGCACGACCTGTCAGCTTCGCCAGTCGCAAACGATGGACATCTAAATGCCGACAAACACGAACTCCTTCCGCAAGAGTAGGGTTAACGGTGTAACTTGGCGCTGAGGGTGCAAGTCAGCGGGTTTTGGATGTGGGTTTTAGGAACATGTTGGATGTGCTGGGCAACGATTAGGCGCATGCTGGCCTGGCTGAATGTCATCGCCAAGGATCCTACAGTAGAAATAACTACGAGTATGGTTTGGGAGAAAGTACCTGATATAAGTACTTCGGACCCTTTGGGAATGTAGATTCTAAATTCTAGGAGTTGTAGGGCTTGGCGAATGTGTAGACGTTTCGAGTGGCATGTTACATTGACATGGGCTTCTTCGTATTTGGGTGGGCGTTTCAAGCGTAGGGATAGTGTTTAAACATGTAGTACTTTCATTGGAGTCGCAACTACGTGCGGCTTCACTAGAAGCTGCTACAAGCCATGAAAATCGCTTACTCGGAGATTGTCCAGGCTGAGAGAGCTCTGTACAAAGCCCCTTCGCTCTGTGCGTAGACTTGACTGGAAATGCATGGCGGGGTGGCGAGGCATGTTAACTCGAATGCAACCTAAGATGCGAGCTGCAATCGAAACTTGGCCAACGAAGTGTGGTGATAGAAACAAAACTTTGTGGAGCTTAAGTTGATGATGCCCGGAGAAACTACTGCCTACTGCAAAAGCGTCCCAAATCTCTTTGCACACCCCAAACTGAAGTTGGAAACGACGAAGCTCGTTTTAGTACCGAAGCTGAGGCCGAAACGTCCGAGTCGGCATGTCTGCATGCGTTCCCGCTCACATGCTTCAAGTAGGACGGAAACGGCCTCAACACAAACGCTGTGTTGCAGCACTGCGCTGCAACGACAAAACTGTCTGCCCAAATTGTGTCCACCTCGCTGAAGGTACGACAAGGCAAACTGAAAAGCCTGGCATCCAAACTGACCGTCTAAAACATAATGCCGCTGGACCAAGGAAAACACACTACACGACTATCGCACTTCCCGCTATAGATGTAGATATGTATATGTATATATGTATATCCCGCTCTTCACTGGCGGCAGGTGCCAGCAGCAAAGGCCCACTCCTTTAAACCGACGTAGGCTGAGGAGTGAGAGCTCGATTGGGAAAACCTGGCCTTACAAGTGAATTCGTCGAACTAGTCGACGCAAGCTTGCAGAACACCTCAGACTGCAGTGCTAGCTTAACCTACCAAAACCTACCTTTTTTGTAGGGTCCCTTCAAACTCCATATTAGGGTTTAGGTTTAGGGTGTAGGGTTTAGGGTCTATTTGCATGCATAATCGCTTCTCCGAAAAGCAGCACTAGCTGACCGACAGAAGTGCTTGGCAAGTACCGTTCCCCAAGTCCAAAGCGTTCCAGCTAGGGTTTCATGCATGGTGCCGAAGAGTCATTGGGAGCATACTGCCACAATGTTCAGTCATTCGGCAAAAGATGTCGAAGGCTCAGCACGACGAGATGCAAGACAACTTGCGATCGCGAGCTGACAACGAGGGGCATCCCCATCGTGGTGATTGCTGGCAGCTTGGCAGCCTACGTGATCCTGGGGACGTTCAACATCCAATGTAAATTTCTAAACACTAAACTGTTCAGACTCGATAGAGACGTCGGATGGCAAGCGGAGGATGAAACCATCGTCGCCGTCCGGCTCCGGGAAAAGATCTGCTCTTTGCTGAGGGGTAGGCGTCGTAGATGTCACCTCAGACATGCCGTCAACCTCTTCCGCTGCACCTCCCATGTGTTGATTCGTCAAGGTGAGCCGCAGGAGGCAGACTGCCAGGAGAAGCGCCACAATGAACACGACGGTCGCAGGCCAAGCATCAGATTCGAAGAACAGAAACACGAAAAAGGTACCCGCAACAACTGTGACCGGTACGGCACACACCGTGAGACCCAGCAGCGCTAGCCAGATGTCTCGGACAGTTGGAAACTTACGACGGGCCAAAACAGTTGACAATGTCGCTGCCGAGAGCCCTATAACGAGCACAACAGTCATCACAAAAGCCCATTCGAGGAGGACAAAACGCAAGGAATATTCCAGAAGCTCGCGTCCGTCTTCTCTGAATATACGCCAAAGTATCCTCTCGATCGCGTCTGCAAGCCATGGCATAGTGGCTGCACTCAGCATGCAGATCAGAGGCGCGATGGGGACAGCGTGTGGCATTTGTCTCAGCACGGAACATCCCAACCTCACACTGTGCAGGTTGAAGGGCACGAAATGTAGGGCTGGCAGGGGTTGTGCGGCGCTTGAGTTTTGAATGAAGCCCCCCTCGAGGCACTACCGCGGACACCGGCAAACCTTAAGGTGAAATCCCAGAAATCCTCAAACCCGACATCATCCCGATGTCTCTAGACGTGCAGCTGGCCTGTGATGAACGAGGGAGTTGAATCGCCGCAAATGCTCGTCGCCAAATATGTCCGTCGGGCTGCCATACCAGTCTTCCAGCTTGCGGTAGACCAGCTCCCGGTCACATGGGATGTCTGCTCCTGTAATCCAAAATTCCATCTGCAAACGATATGCGGAAAATCTGCAATTCACCCCGGAATCCAATCCACAAAAGATCTGCAACATATCTGTGCAAACTTGTTTTGCACATATTGTCTTTCCCAAGCAGATTGCTGTGGGTTTAGAGCTTATAGGGCTTAGGATTATAGCGTCTAGAGGGCTTAAGAAACATGTCCCTCTTCCAAATGCTGCGTGGGATCCTGTGTCCGGATGCTTGTGACCGTTCTCACAACAGAAACACGCAGCGTTTTGGACCTCAAAGGTCTTCAACTGCTCGGGTACACGATGCAGGTGCTTGGCCATGCGTACGCTGAAGGTGCCAAAGGGCAAGCCGAGGAGGATAACAGGACCAAGTATCCTAGGTTCCCCAGCAGCCCCGTGATAAGGGCACTCTGTTTCCTACTCCTCGGTTATATAAAAAAAGGCAAAGGGGCACTACTGGGAGACCGAGGATCCAACCCAAACCCTTGCCCAGAACCGCCGGCCACTCATCCTGACCAAACTGAACCCCAGGAGTGCCGCGTCCAAGCATTTGCAGAACGATGAGCAAAGCAGAAGTTGACCAGCTGAAGAAGAGGAAGGCCGTGAGAATGGTGATGCCGGCATGGACAGGCATGATCAATATTTGCTTGTGCTTGTTGTGATCCGTCAAGAATGCCGCAATCTCATATGCGCACCATAATCCTCGGCTGCCTTTCGCCGATCGAAAGCTTGTCCGCTCAATCTCAATGAATAGTTCTCCGACTAAGTTTAGGGCTTGAAACAGCACCAAAGCCTTACATTCAAATCGTGGTCTTGAGTTCAATAACCCTAGGTCTCCAAGTATACAAATAGTACCTACTTTGGGGTCTAAAGTCTATAGATAGTACCTACTTTGGGCTTTTTGGAACCCCAGGGATAGAATATCAGTGCCCTATAAACCCTAAACCCTAAACCCTAAACCCTAAACCCCTAAACCCTACAACCAGCTCTTAGAGCACCAGGCCAACAAGAGCAAAGTCATGCTCTGGGGCAGCCGGGAATCTGCTGAAGTACCTCAGAAGGTTTAGGGTTTAGAGGTTTAGGGTTTAGGGTTTCGGGGGCTCCTTGTGATAATAATTTTAGTATAATAGACCCCAAAACCCTGTTCCAATTATTAAGGCCCCTACATTATGCACGTGCGTGCAAGTGTCTCGCATGTTGGCGCGGAAGCATGTTTGCGGGGGGAATTGCGGACTGACAATCCCCAAATCACTTGAAGGCTCGGCTGCAATAAACTGCAAGTGCTTTTGGACATCTAGCTAAACCCCAGGGCTCCAAGTATACAAATAGTACCTACTTTGGGGTCTAAAGTCTATAAATAGTACCTTCTTTGGGCTATTTGGAGCCCCAGAATAAACCCTAAACCGTTTCATGTAGGGTTGAAGACTTCGGGGTTTCCGTTGCAGTTTTGGGGTGCTTGTGTGTTGTTTTTGTTCACGCTTTCGCAGCCGGCAACTGGCCCTTTTAGTGTGAACACGTCGTAACGTTATTCCGGATTCCTTATAGAGGGTCTTGATATGTGTTTCTAGTCTAGAGTATCACATACCCTCAACACCGATTCCAATTGTTATGGCCCCTGTATTAACCCTAAACTGGGGCTTTTGTTTATATTCCCTGCTGCAGCAGCATCTTCGAAATACAGACCTTGAAGCCGTTGTTTGGCAAGCTTGGCTTATGCCTTGCCTGCTAGAGTCTGGGACTTGAGTTCAGGACGGGCGAACCATCAATCCATGAGCACAGCCTCCTGATTGCCAGCTTAAGATTTAACGGCTTACCTGAAACTCTGAGCCCCGAGCCCTAAATCCCTGAAGCTTTAAACCTTGAGCCCCAAGCGTGAACGATAAGTTGCAAGCCCGAACTCTGAAGTTGAACGCCTCCGTTGAAGAGCTGTTCAGCTCTCCAGGTGTCTGTAACTTCGCGCAGCCCATAGCTCTTGAGTTGAATCCTGCTACAAGCCATCCTAGAGCCGCCAAGAAACCCCATATCTCTAAGCCCTAACCCTAAACTCTATATATCTCTAAGCCCTGACCCCAGATGATCTTGAGGTGATGCTGTGCCAGCTTTAGGGGCCCTCGTCCCACGGAGGATGGGTGGGATGGTGCGAACTTCGAATTCTCGCCTGGTTTTTTCTTAAAATTTCACGGGAGATTCAGCTAATTCCTGTAAAGTGGAGTAGAGAATAGAGCTTCTCCTGCCACATTCCCTATTTAGGACTGTGAGCTCTGGATGTACGGGCTTTGTGGTGTAAGTTGCCAGCTGTGCAGCGCAGGCACCACAGAGTCGCTCTTTTTTGGGAGAGGCTTTCGGAGAGTAGACCTGACGAGGTGCAGGGTTTTGGGTTCAGGGTTTAGGGTTCAGGGTTTAGGGTTTGGGGTTTAGGGTGTTCGGTTTAGGGCTCAGGAGCTGGTGACGAGGGGGGTGCCAATTAATTAGTTGACCCTTCGCCTCAAGAAGGAAAAGCCATGTGCTGTCAGCAGCAGGTTAACATAGAAGCCTGAGTCACTACCAATACTGTTCTTTAGGGGTCCTGAAGATAACTATGTAGTCCAATCGTATGGCCAAAAAACCTTGGTCTAAATCTTAAGCACACACTGCGCAAGAGAACCCAGACTGTCATCCTGCCGTTGAAATCCCAACCCCCGGCCAGACTCGTCCTGCAGATGCATTTTCCTAAGGTGAGAAGTATGGGCCCCTAATATGGACCCTTTGGCCGGTTCAGGCCCAAGTTGGATTCTCAGGGCTTCAAGCCGCAAGCAGAATTTGACTAAGGGTCTAGGGTTCTACAGAGGGCACCATTTGGGCCGTACTGTAACTGTGATGGCTCTACCAGTGTTCTATAAGAATTTTCAGCGGCAGGTGTTGCGGGGCTTGAGGGCCTAAGGCTCCTAAGGGCTTTACTAAGCCTTATGCCTTATGCTAACGTATAGTAACCATTATGCCGCACACTAACCCTGCCAGGCTGCCACCGAGGCTCCGGTCGTCGTCTTTGGAGCCGCCAAAGGCGGGGGCAGGGGGGAGGTCTCGAATTTCAGACCTGCGATGTTGTGTTGGGGGTTTCGAGTCGGGGGGTATTCGGGGGTATGGGGGCTTTTGGGCTTCCGGCCGGAGCTTCAGCTTCTGGATTGAAGGGCGTCACTTCGAAGATCCTCCGTCTGGGTTTCTAGAACACCATACTTCCGTCATATCAGAGTACCCTTTGTCCAGTGCATGGCCTACTTTATCGAAGGGTACCCAGCAGAGAATCTCCGCGGACCCCAAACCCTGCTCCAATGATTGAGGTCAGGATACTGAACCCTACTACAGGAGCCTAAATAATTAGGAATACTATTTTGGGGGGGGTCCTTATTACAATTATCGTTTAAAAACCAAGAAAAACTTCTATTCTAGTTATTAAGGGGTCTAGATGAAGCCGTAGAATCTTTTAGGCTCGAATTCAGAGCTACCAGGCGCTATTCCCGGCACCTTCCACGTTGGAGCCGCTGCCGCCGGCGCCTGAAATCTAGAAGTTCCGGCATCTGCGGCTGTTTAGGGTTTAGGGTTTCGGGTTTAGGGTTTAGGGTTTCGGATTACGTGTGTCGGTCTGAGGTGTTTAGATTGAGGGCTTGGCGTCTAGGGGCAAAGAGTGTAGGGTTGAGGCTTTGGGTTTTGGGTTTGGGGAGACAAGGCCAGGTCCTCAGGTTCGAGCTTTCTGATCGCAACATTACCTAAATCCCAAACCCTAAACCTCTAACCCTAAACTTGAATCCGAGCATGAATTCTCAGTCGTGTGAAGTCGAGCCAGGTTGGCACCAGAGCCTTTTCCAGAAGCCTTTCCAGGCGCTGTGGGAAGCCGCAGGGGGTTTGGGCTTTAATTGGGTTGTGGACTGTTGGTTTAGGGTTTAGGTTTTGGGGTTAGAGTTTAGGCTTGTGGCTTTTGCTTGTATGGCGAGGTTTGATGGTAATTTGTTTAATGCGCATTGATGTTTGCTAAGGCTTGTTTAGGTCCTTTTGGTGTTGCTGTGGTCGCTGAGAATTTACTCAAGCTGTGGTAGGAATTGGAACAGGTCCATCAAACTAAGTAAGTGAACTTAGTTGAACTTAGTTCAGTGCGACTCTTGCATGTGTCGATATACAAATGTCTTGGGCAGGGGATGGAGTACTTCCAGTTTGAATGTGAGCTGACATACCTCCAGAACGCTTTACCGAGTCTCCAAAATTGCCCTTCTACTATACACATACGACCATACCCCCCTCCCACACACGCAACACAAGGCAATGGTCAAAAAATCCTAAGGCCCAATACTCAGACAGCCCTAAACCCTAAAGGTCCTAAAACCCCATATTCGGATATTCCTAAACCCTCAACCCCTCAACCCCAAACCCCAAACCCACCCTAACCCCAATCGGGGTTTAGGGATCCGGTTTGGTTTGGCTCCGGGCGGCCTCGAGGCATAGCACTACAGACGGATTCACACAGCGACTTATCGAGCGCTTCCTCCCAAGAGCGAGTTTCGGGCTGAGGGTCTCTCGTTTAGGGTTCAGGGTTTTAGGGGTTTAGGGTTTAGGGAGTGTTCAGATTAAAGCATAAGGTTTAGTCGAGGTTTTCAGCATGGATGACAGCCCCGTGCTGAAGAAGGAGTTGTTGAGAAAGTGGGCAAACACCCTCAACCTCTGCGCGACATCATTCAAACTGCAAAGCTTAAACCTACAAAACACCATTCGCTAAACTCCTAGTTAATTACACTGAAGCCTACACATACAAACCTTGGCCCCTCACCTTGAAGCCCGAAACCCCTACATAAACCTTTGAATCCTTGGCAGAGCCCAGTAGAGGCCTTCCGAAACTAATATAGAATCCCTGTAAAACCCCAAACACATTGTCGAGTCCAAACCCGTGTTTGGTATTCTTATTAGAACCCCTAAGTGGACCCCCAAAAAGAAGCCTTAACGGAACCGCTGAGCACACCACTTTCTCCGCAGCTCCTCCACGGCCGGCATTCCAGGAGACGCCGGCCGTGGCCCTAAAAGACGTGGCTTGGGGTTTGGGGCTCAAATGTAGCGATTTAGAAGAGAGCAGGAGCATTAGGCTTTGGGGTATGGTTCTGGGGTTGAGGGCTTGCGGTCTTCGTGTGGTTTGGGGCTAACTTCCTGGACGCTTTTGGGGATTCCGACGTTCGGCTTTTCGGCTTTATGCCAGAACTTGTGAGCTCAGTTTTTGTTTAAGAGAGTCCTGCATATACCGCAGTTTGTTCGCAGATCGTAGCTGTTGGGATACTGGTAGGGTGGTTGAACGACTCTCGATGTTTTGTTGCATCTTGTTGTTTCGGGTTCGGTGGTCTAAACTCCCAAAAGGATGAATTGCAGCTTACTCTTCTGAAATCGTTGTCCCAAACCCTAAACCCTAAACCCTAGCCGAAGCCCTAAACCCCTACCCTAAGCCCTACCCTAACCCCTAAACCCAAAACCCCAAAAGTATTAAAGCTGGGGAGTTTGCGTTCCCTCTGCCTCTTGCGGCACAGGGGCCCGGCAGTCCGATTTAGTAACGTGGTGGGTATAGGAGGTCCACGGTTTAGGGTTCAGGCTGTTGGGTTTAGGGCTTAGGGTTTTTAGGCTTTTAGGTTTAGGGTTTGGGGTGTTGCATGGGTTGTAACTGTACAGGATGCCTTTGTAGAGCTTTGCTGACATTCGACGTTTTAAGTTTCATGCAGCAGTGGGTGGTGACTTGGTTTGCCAGGAAGGTATTCTCTCGCACGTGCCGCCGTACATGTAGGGGGTTCTGATCATGAAGACTCAATCGAGCTTCCTTTTGAAGCTAGCACATTTTCGCTAGTGGCGGCCTCTGAATCTGAAACCTGGCACAAGCGGAAACGTGAGCGCCACAAGGAGCTGGAGGAGTCGTTGGCAGATGCCGAGGAGACTTCAAATGCAGGCAGTGGGGTTGGTTGCGTGCAGAGTGCTGAGAACCACCGACCACCTTGCTGAAGTATGTCCTGCCCCACTACAGTCATTACCATGCCAAACACCCACTGCTTCCAAGACCAACACACTACACTTAGAATCCTTGCGACTCTGAATCATCCGGGAGTTCAAAGACTCTTTTGTGGTTGTTGAAGCTGTGAAGCGGCCGCACAGCCAAAAGCACATCCCAAGCTCCGACATTCCCGCAACCCGCGCATGCCCATTACCCGTACCCTAGTTTCATTGTCGACCAGAGGTCCGACCACTTGCTCCGCTCCCCAAAGGAAACCGAAGCGCTCGCAGCTGTACGGAGGCTCGCCGCTAGCAGCCGAAGCGACACTGGCGCTTAGTGGCGACGTCCGGGGCTGACTACAGACGACTGATTTACCTTTGTCATAGCTGGGTAGCACTTTACATGTTTATGGGTACTTTATTAAGCCCACGAAGTAATATACATTTAGTCCGTAGTTTATTCTCAGGCAAGGACCAGATATGATTTGTCAAGGCAGGCCCTAGATTGATCGGTGTGCTTTCGACCAGCGTAGCCTGGTTGTGCAGCTGCTGTAAGCCTCCCGACTCCAAGACCGCCCTCCCTGACCCCGAAACGGTTCAGGGTTACTATAGGGGCCAAACAATTACCTATACTATTGTGGGGGGGGTTCGTTGTTTATTTATAGTATGATGGGCCCAAAACCAGATTCTAATTGTTATAGGGCCCCTACATTAGAGTGTTTGACCTAAGCCCTAGACCGACACACCCGAGACGCAAACCCCAGGCCCGAGCCCTAAACTCCAAGCTCGAGACTCTAACCTTTTCTGAACCCTAAACCCTAAAACCCCAAAGCCCCAAGCCCTAAACCCTAAACCCTAAAACCCTAAGCCTTAAACCCTAAACCCTAACCTTCCAAGCCTTAAGCCCTCTCAGTTCGAGAGCCAACTGTTGGAAGACTTGATACTCCCGGATTCGTCGAGCTACAGTCCACATGTGGGGCTATGGGTTTTTACATGTACAGGCTTTTCGGGTTTGGACTTTGTGGATTAGGGTTTATATTGTAGGAGTTTCTTCGTTTAGGGCTTTCGTTATTTTTAATGTTAGGGTCTTCTGAACTCGTTCCAAGGCCTTTGCAATTGGAGCTGCGCTGGCGGCTGGGGCCTCTGACGGGTCTATTTTCGCATTATTGCGCCCAATCTTCTCTCAAGGAGGAGCATCTTCAGATGTTGACTGATGCCGAGGTGGCGGAATATGCGTACTCTGAATTTAGCAGCAGAGCGCTCGTGGCAAGCCTTCCAGCTCCTGAGGAGTCCATTGAGAACGGCGGCTTCGAAACCTTAGGCCCGGAATGGAAGATTTTCAGCAGGCTGTGTATGCCTGGTATGGTCAGCTTTCAGGGGCGGGGTTTGGGATTGCTGTGGGATTTGGGATTCGGGGTTGAAATGAAGGCCACTCGAGGAGGTTACATGCGGGGGGGAAGCTGGTTTGCAGTTCAGAGCAATGCTCGCCGACAGTTTCCTGCTCGTCGTCCTCAACTGCTCTTTCTAATTTGGTATGACAATGTAAAACCAGCAGCTAACTAGCGACATTAAGCGGCCATTGCATATTGGAATCTTGGAGGTTGACATGAAGTTACTAATGTGCCCGTGCTGCTGCCAGCAGCTGGGCCAAACCGGACTCATAGCGAGGATTGTGCTCCGGGCTGTGATGCTGCACCGGTGATGTCGAAGCTGGTCACGCTGATAGTAATGAAGAGGACGTTGTTTAGAATGCTTGTGATTCTGATTCTGGTGATCAGCAGGACGATGAAGAGTATGGGGATGGGATGAGGGGCAGGACTTGTCTGATGGTATGCATGCTGCTCGTGATGCCGTGGTGATGGCGATGCTGGTGCTGAAAGCGTTTTTTGCCAGCGCTTGACCACTGCATGATTTCTCTGAGTGATTGCGAAGCCGGATAGACAGTCCATGAAAGGCTCGCTTGAGCCGGATATAAGGAGTTCACCGATCATCTAACTTTAGAACTTCAACTATCCAGGGCCCACTTTTCCAGAGGCATCTTTCCATCCAGCCAGGGCCCGAACACAGTTCCCTATTGATGAGCCCAGTAAGTGCGCGTCAGTGCAGACGCCTCCATGTCGGAGGAGCAGCGTGAAGACGTGAGAGGCAAGGCTGCCGAGATTCTCCTTTGTGCAGGCGTACACCTCCGGGCCTATGAGGAACCGGATCCACAGCAGATGTTGGAAGATGCGAGGCAGGTGCGAAAACTCGCACAAGATGTGCTCCGCACTGCGAATGATCACAGGCAAGAGGCAGAAGTTGGACCGACGGCTGCTTCGTGCTTTGAGTGGATCTGCCTGGCTGCCCGGATGATGCAGAAATTGGGTGCCGAGGACTTTCACGGGCAATGCCTGCACCTGGCCGGCCTGTGCTTGCAGGCGACCAGGCAAGTCGAAGAGATTCTGGTGGCGGAGGGCGTTCCCACCGCAATCGTTTCGGAGGCTGAGGAGTCCGGTGAGGACTACTTCTACATCCCTGAGTCAGGGACCCAAGCTGAGTCTGGGGCCATTACAGCGCCAACACGAACTGCGGACCCGTCTCGTGTTGACAGTGTCACCAATCGGGAACCGCATGAGCTAGTTGTCGAAGAGGCGTTTGTGGAAGGACCAGGAGAAGGCTGGACACGGGCTTGAAGCACTGTTTTATTCTTTGGTATCAGCCCCCGCCAACTTTGTGCCATCCCCACAGTTCTACTTCTCGTCGGCAAGCTGCATTCTAATAGTATAGTCACAAGGAGGGTTGTTCTGAATCATTGGGACTTTCAACGTTTGCGCCCTGCCGGCGGGGCCTTACTTGTTGTGCCGGTTCCCTGGGCACCGAGAGTTTGAACTGCACAGTCGTGGTTAAGTGTGGGCCCGTGGGTTTGTGAGATCCAGCCGTCCAGGTCAGCTGGTTGCACACAGGCAAGGTCTGGAGAGCCAGTTGCAACAGATGAGGGCGGAGCAGACAGGCCTTCCCCTTGCAGAAACGCTGCGAAAACTGGGCTCTGCACTTCTCGAAGAGGGGGAACCTCAACATGCCAGACAGGCCAGGGACGACTTGCACCAGAACTTGCACATTCAGCAGTGCTGCCTGCAGGCCATGGACTACTTACACCAGAGCTTGCAAATTCAGCGCTGCCTGCAGGAAAGCGCGGCTCATCTCAGTATCGCTGACACGCTGTATGACCTGGGTCGCGCAAGCAGCATTCTTAAAAATCAAGAACAAGCCCTGCAGTACTTTCACGAGTCCTTGGAGATTAGACAGCGCGTGCGCCTCGCTGGAGATGGCAAAACTGTTGCGACTCTGTACCGTCTGAGCGCCGAGTATTTGAAAAAGTTTCACTATTTTTTCGACGGCGGAATAGAGCAGGCGCGGGTCTTTGTGGAGAAGGCTCTGAACTTGGCAGACAGCCTATGGCCTGGCTACTTGGATCTCTGCGCAGTTTCAGCCTCTTGCCGACATGCCCAGGACTGCAAGCAATGTGCACCCTGCTTGTGGTTATGACTGAGCTTGGGTTGCACTGGTTCTGCCTGCAGGAGCTCATTGAAGCTGGCGATGGTTGGGCGTACAACTTTCGGGAGGTTCTCCGCGGACGCGACCTGGAGTTCTGCCGCGTTCTCACTGCCAGGGACAAGCCCTTGATAGTTCTCCCGTCAGCAGACTCCGCCGACTTGATTGATGCACCTCTCCCTGAAGATTTTCCATTGCAAGTGTGGCTCAAGGCACGCTTCGCGAGAGACTGCGTAGGCGTCTCCCAAACTGATCAGTTTTAGGGGCGGAGGGCATTGCACGGCCAAGTTTGGGTCGCAGGGGCTTGAGAGCTTCATGGACTTACGCCAGGTTCTGGGCCAGGGTTCCAGCTGAATTTGAGGTTTGGAGCCTACCCGGTATGTGCAAGCGTTACTGAATCCTGCGATGATGTCAGGCTCCCGGGAAGGAAGATCGTCGGACCTTGACATCCCTTCTCCAGCGTGCTGCCCATTTGGAATTGGGCGATGGTCGTCCAGATACTGCTGCAGCTGAGGCCGCGACAAGCTGTCTTCAAAAGTCTCTACGCGTGGTAGGCTGTCTTGCAGGAGACCAAGACAACGAGTCCGCAGCAAAAACATTGTATGAGCTGGGACGGATGCGCGCTTTCGCCAAGGACTTCGAGGGTGCAGTCTGCTACCTGGAGGAAGCATTACGCATGAAGAAAAAATCTATATACGACCAAGACACTGCCAGCGTCGCAAAGACCTTGGCCCTCCTGGGCAAGCCGTACTTCCTCATAGAGAGTATCAAGAGTGGAGAGGCTACTCGCGGACGTGTGCGCTTTTTCACGGAGAGGGTCTATCTTGCTTATGTGTTGCCCATACTGTCCGCCTGCTGTGGTCCTGAGTTGGCTCTACAGTCCGGTCCGGGCGTTTTTGATGCGATTCGTTTGTGGCTGCGGCCATGAAACACGCGAAAAGACCGCCAAACCAGTTGCCACAGTTACGCATGAGGTGGCGTTGCGAGCAGAGCTCGACAGCAGACCTCCTTGCTACGATGCACTCAGCATCCATCCCTCCTGTTCTGCATCAGATTAGGTCGCTTTGCGAGAAACCTGCTGTAAAAGGTCTGGCAGTAGAGCCCTTATAGGGACCCGTTAAAAGAACCCTTGTCGGAAGCCTTCTCAGACAAGGCTCCGAAGGAACTAAGCTAGCCTTTCAGTCACAGAGATACTATAGAAGCCTGAATGATTGCTAGTTTGTTTCCTAAAGGTTCCTGATCGCAAGTATGTTATGATATACCCCTACATGAGTTCCAGAAACCCAGAGGCTAGGGTTGCCGTCATGGCGCATGGTGAATGTGCGCAGGTGAGGATGAAGAAGGCGATGACGAAGCCGAAGATGAGGCTGCGGGCGTGTAGCGAGTAGCAGCCCTAGCTTCCTCATCACATAGTTTGGAATCCGATCAGACAGGATTCTGAGGATTATTCTGTACCTACATTCGTCCCTTTATTACCCTTCAAACTGTAACTGTTACAGGGGATCGCTTAACGCTTGGGGGGGGGGGGGCGCTTCGGTGTACATATAGTTACATGGCAAGTTTGGTGATCTTCTCTGCCAGGAGGATCAGGATGGGCTGGACATGGACGACTGGCCACCGGGATCTCACTGGCAGGATTCAGAGTTCTTAAAATAAGAGTATTAAGAAGAAAAACGACAGTAATAGTGGCAGTGGTAGTAGCAGTAGCAGTAGCAGTGGCAGCAGCAGTAGTAGTAGTGAGTAGTCGTCGTCGTAGGACTACTAGTAGTAGTAGTAGTAGTAGTAGTAGTAGTAGTAGAAGTAGGAGTAGCAGTAACAGTAGGAGTAGCAGTAACAGTAGCAGTAGCAGTAGGAGTCGTCGTCGNNAGTAGTAGTGGTGGTGGTAGTAGTATAGTAGCAACAACAACGACGACACCGTTTCTGGTCATAATAATCATAATAACACGAGGCTGTCGTGGTTCCAAGCTTGCGGCAATGTCAGGAGTCAAAAGTCGGCGAAGAAGCCTTAACTAAACCCTAAACCCTTAACCCTTAAACCCTAATCGCTTAAACTCTAAACTCTAAACTCTAAACCCCAAACCCTAAACCCTAAACCCTAAAGATTTTATTATTTTTGTGAGAAGAGCAAAAACCTAGAGTTTTATTGGATTTCTATTGGTCAACCAATTCCTATAAACCCTAAACCCTAAACCTTATAAGCCCTAAACCCTAAACCCTAAACCCTAAAACCCTAAACCCATAACCCTAAACCCTACACCCGAAACCCTAAACCCTAAACCCTAACCCGCGTCTTCATCTGAACTTGATGTTCCGACCTACGCTCTTCTCTGGTTGCTGTGAACCCCAGAACGACACCCCCGAGCACTAAATCCCGAAAGCCTCGCTCTAGAAGTAACTTACATAGAGAGATGCGGTTCATGAATCACGGACCCCTGTGCTTCGGATTTTAAATTTCAGGCCTAAACCCTTCAAACTTCCTCTAAACCCACAGCGCTAAACGCCAAACGGTTTACTTCTTCCCTTCGGGGCCTTGGCGGAGCCCGGACGCCCAGGAAGGCCGGCACCGAAGCGGAAGATCTCGTGGAAGAGCCGCTTTTCTGCAGAGGGTTTAGGGGCTTTGGGATTTCGGGCTTCAGGGTTTGGGATAGTTTGGGGTTTAGGTATCTATATGGTTTCAGGGCGTTGGGGCGTGGTTTCTGCAAGACTCTCGCCAGAGAACATCAAGGCAACGGTGAGAATGCCAAGTAAGTAAACGGAGTCGGGCTCATGCAAGCCTCTTCCGGCCTGGACGGACAGAAACATGGATGTTAGGTAAGGTTAGGCTTGGGAGAGTTTGACCACGTTGAGATGACCAGGTTTCGGAATCTACACCCGCATCGGGCTGAGCGGACGGAATATATGGGCCCTAAACCCTACAGTAAACCCTCAGCCACAATCCTCGAAGCCGTAAAGCTGTTTATTCGGATTCCCATAAAATTAAGAGCCTACAGAAAGGTAGGTTATAGTAGTTTAAGGTAAACCCTGAATCCTCAAAGCCTCAACCCCTCAAGCCTAAACCCCACATCACACTCGAGCCGAGGGGTGCCGATGCCGACGATGAGGAGGAGGAAGACGAGGACGGAGACGACGAGGAGGGCGCGGACGCGGGCAACTCGTCCTGAATAATTTCAACTGCGCAGTGCGTGGTGTGCATTCAAAATCAGGTTGCTTCTGGGCTCAATATAGGGGCCTGAATTACCAATACTATTTTGAGGGTTCCATATAATATAGATAGATAGATAGATAGATAGATAGATAGTAAAATATACCACCCCAAAACCCCATTCTAATTATTAAGGCCCCTACATTAGGCCCTGAGCCCGAAATCTCTTGAGAGCTGATGCTCTGAACTCGCCAAAGCAAGCGGAGTGCACGAAGCCGCAACCGCGCAACAGCACAATACATAAACATTCTTCAAGCTCCGTAAATATTGCAGCAACTGTACATCATGTAACAGAACAGAGTACCATATGATACACTATCGTATAAGTTATCTATCATATAATATGATATAAGCTCAGATAATGTACACCCTAAACCCTACACCCCAAACCCTAAACCCTAAACCCTAGACCTAAGCCCTAAACCCTAAACCCTAAACCCTAAACCCCTAAACCCTAAACCCCCAACTGCAATAATTAGAAAGCCTGGAGGCGCCGTTCTCCGAGAGATCTTAGTCAACGAGTCCGACGAGTATCAGCCTGGTGCCACTCAGGAGGATGTAGGCCTGGGGTTGACAGGGCCTTTCGGGCATTTATGTATACATATGTGAACATGTATATATATATATATATGTAAACATATATATAGAGAGAGAGAGAGTGGGTTTAGGGTTCAGGGTTTTAGGGCATAGTTATGGGGCTTGGTCTTGGGTTCTAGGGTGTGGGGCTTTGGTGTTTAAGTATGGTTTCATAGGGTTTAGGATTGAGGATGGTCGAGGGGCTTTGAGGTACAGGTTCCGATGTTAGAAATTTAGGTTCTAGGGTTTGGGATTTACGGTGGATTTAGGGCAAGTAGCATAGCATTACGGGTTTCGGTGTGAAGAACACGTGCTGCAAGGGGTTTGGGGATTCCGGCAAAAAGAGAGAGAGAGAGAGAGAGAGACAGAGAGAGCAAGACAGAGAGAGAGGGAGGGTTTGTGAGCTTCAGGGCCTTGAGGTTATGGGCTTTAGGTTCCGGGGTACTTGGAGGTTCATGGGACTTAGTCAGTACAATTATAAGTACCCTTATTGGGGTTTTAAGTAATTGTAAGTATAGGGGTATTCATGACCCTGGTTACGAAGTCCCATGAACCTTTAAACATAGGGGTTTCGCTAGAGCTGCAGGAACTTCGTGGTTCAAGGCCCCAGGGGTATGGCCCTCCGGTCTTGGGCTTAGGGTTTAGGCAAAGAGGGTTTCGACTAAAGGGTTTGAGGGCAATGGAGTTTGAGACTTTCGTTTTTCAGCGTCGTAGTAGTAGCCATGATGCATGTTGCGATTATGCTAGCAGCAGCAGCAGTTGTAGTCTCGGCCAGTGATGTTTGCGGAATCTTCCCGGTGTGACGCCGGACTTTAGTAGTGAAAAAAGGCCAGCCAACTGAACCCGAGAAGCGACTCTAACAGAGCAACGCCCAGCTACCTTCTCGCAACCAGGGCTTGAAATTCCAAAGCCGAAGACGGCGACAGGTCAATGTGATGACGATGATTCACCGCGGCCCCTCTCCAGAGAAACGCCTGTGGTAGACGAGGACGCAGTGGTTTTCGACCCATTTCTAAAACTACATGACTTATCTGCAGCTCCAGAGCCTAAAGCGAAGATTCTGCGCCAGTCTGACTTGTTTTGGGGGGGTTAGAGGCGTGCTGTGCCTGGATTTGCTTCACACATTTTCGGATCCTGCTTCTTCTTACATCAGACCGTACCGTTTAAGTGGTCTAGTATCTCCCGAAATCCTTCCATAGAGCTGCGGCGTAAACCCCTCGTCATGAATTATTGAAATATCAGTTCGTGAACCCTACAGTTTACAAGCCCCAGGACATGCTCCTGGCCGCCACAGCTCCACTGCTGATCGACGGCCCTGTGAAGAAGAAGCGAAAGAAGAAAAAGAAGAAGTCACCCGGCTGGCACTGTTAGGGCTTGGATTTTAGGATTTATGTGTCGGGTTCAAGAGTACAGGGCGCGTTCCTACTTGTCTTCTGTCGCGTCTATGTGTGCGTCGGGTTGATGTTCAGAACCTTCGTGGTCGCCCCCAGGGAAGGTTCTGGCGAGAAGTCTCGTCAAAGTTGGAGCCTCCAGAGTAGAGTTGAGCGGATTGGCCGACCGGGCCTTCGCATACTGTCTTTTCAGCCGTGAGCTGTTGACACTAAATATCTTCTGGTTGTATGGTGTATGGATTAGGGTTTAGGGTTTAGGTTTAGGGTTCAGGGTTTAGGGTGCGCGGCAGACCTGCTTTCATGCCTGTAGTTGCAGCCTGTCTGCATGTGCTTGTAGGAAGAAGCGGCGTCTCAGCAAGACTGTGGTCGTGGTGGATGTCCCAGCAGAGAAGATGCTTGATTGCACAGTGTGAGCATCACTAATATTGAGGGGCCGCAGCCGATACTGTTTGGGGTTCCTTGTCACAATTATGGACTATAATATAGCAAAACCCTACTCGCCCTATTCCAATTAGTCCTACAACACTGACAGGGGCTTGCAGGCCTGTGGGTTGAGTTTTCAGCTGAGGAGTTGAGGCTATTGCTAAGCTCTGAGATAGAAGTTCTGCCCGTTGTAGAAAGCGTAGCAGAAGCCGTGTTGGGAGCACGCAGCCTGTCAGTCATCCCTATGAACATGTGTAAGAACTGCGACTGTGTGAAGTATCTGAACAGATCACCGATGAAGCTCAACGAGAGCATCTGCATGAATATTGCAATCGACCTGATGGAAGCGCAGAACCCCACAACGGCAAAGACATGCGAAGACAGGAGACTTTGAGCCTGTAAGCACTCAGTGCTGGGCAAATCCCTGCACTGCACCATTATCAAATGAAATCCTGTAACTCCGAACCCTAGGCCCCGGTTTCAATTCGCTCAGCTGTGCTGCCCACGCGCATCTAAGGAAGCCTCCGGTACCTCGCTTCCCGCACCCGACCGGGCTGCGACCGGAGAAGGAGGTAGACCTGTTGCATATAATGTAGGAGTCATGGTGTTTACAGTTTTGTCTTTATGCTCGACACAGTCTTCTGGAACCCTTGAGGCATTGCCTGGGGTTCGATTCAGGCACGCTTATAGTGCATCAAGGTAAAGGATTTCCGATGTGGGTGCTCTGTGCTTTGAGATTCGGAGTATCGTTTGAAGTTTCCACTGCTTTGTTTGTGGGCATGGAGGCCGTCACGCCTCCACAAGCGGTGCAAACTCTGAGCAACCTGCCTGCACCAGGGTCCGGGTTTCAGGAAGCTTCAGTACTCAAAGCGCTCTTACTCGTAGTTTCTGCAGCCCTTAGCATCAAAATAGCCCAGAAGCTTATAAATAGGGTCTTTGGGCCCAAACGCCTTGAAACATGAGTGCAGTAGCTTCAGACAGGGAGGCTCCTAACTTAGGGACGACATGAACCCTAACTAAAAGGGTTTAAGGTTCATATACCATATAGGGATTCATACTATATGGGAATAAGGCCCCTACTTTCAAGGGTCAGTTGGTCCTCAAGGTAGGAATTGTTTGGAATACAAAGCTCGGCGAGACGCCAAGGCCGCAGGCTGAAAACTGCTTGAGTCATTGCCCGTTTAGGGGTTCAGGGTCTAGGGGATATAGGGTTTTGGGTTTAGGGTTTGGCGCAGAATTTGAGATCTGTCCTGTCATTGTCAAAAGTATATGCAGTCTCTGTACGAACAAAGTTGTCCTCTCCAGCTCAGCTGCGACAAGCCTATCATTTGCTGAGTCTGAGTCGATTTGAATATGATAGCGACCTGGAGGACCAAATGACCCTTCAAAGTAGGGGCCTTATTCCCATATAGTATGAATCCCTATATGGTATATGAACCTTAAACCCTTTTAGGGTTCATTTCGTCTCTAAAGGAGACACCACTGGCCGCAAGATGATCAGACCCACAAGCCCTGCGCATCCTGGGACAGGTGAGAGGACTCCCCTCAAAGAGCGCTTCTCGAAGCAGCTTCTCGGTCCGGTAATGTAGGGGCCCGCCTTAATAAATAGAATAGGGTTTTGGGGTATATGATACTATAGTTATAAGTTATAATAAGGAACCCCCTAAATAGTATAGATAATTATTGGTGGTAGTAGGGTTTCATACTTGTCTTATGCAGGTGTATAGTGGATATGGATGCATGCATGTATGCACGGAGCTGGTGTTGCACTGGAGCATCGAAGGCGCAGGCGCATTGCCGAGCATCATCTTTGCTTAGCTTCCTGGTTGCTGAATGTTCTCCGTCTGCTAGATTATCCTGCAGAACCCCATCTGAGCATTGAGCCAAAGTACCCACATAGTTGTGAGGCGTGTCGAATTTTTGAAACCCGTAACTCGAAAGGTTTCAGCCTAAACCCCCGAAAACCCCAAGACCCTCAATCCTCAACCCTGCTCAGTACTGTATACCTCACCTAAACCCTAGACCCTAGAAACCCA